TTTAAAAATAAACAGCGCGAAAATCGCACGGCTCTCCGTAGCGGTAACAGCGACCAGCGACATGGACGAGTAGAGGTGGAACGAATCTGTGTATGTGCGTGCGGAACGCACGGGGACCGGGTTTGTCGCGGCGGTTACTTTGACGCCCGTGTGTGCTCCAGCTCTTAGGCTCGCGTCCTTACGTGTCGCGTCGCGATTGTAAACCGAGAGAGGACCGATGTCTTATCGCGCTTATTCCGCATATAAAAATAGTTTTCCGCGCGGTTACATCGATATATCCGAGTCGTCCTCTCGATTTCCGATCAAATCCTCATGCGATCGCGTATAAAATCGCTGGCGATTCTCCGACGCGGTAGATTCTACGCGCGCGCATTTTAGTAAGGATCTCCGACCGTAATAAGAATCTCGCCGAAGACAGGGTGGAGAACGCGCGCCGATTGTCAATTCCTCGCGATCGGAGATAATATCGAGGAGAACGTGGCACGTGGCCGCGTCGAGAGACGCGAGGACGACGACACCTTCCAAGATCGTCGACCATGGCGACTTTCCAGGACCTGGAGGATGACTGGTCCACGCTCTGCCATGACACTGACAGTTGGACGCAAAGCGGTGAGTCCTCTGCAAGTCATCGTGTGTATGAAATATAAACGGTGTTTCATCAAAGTCGATGAGCCGGTCGGTTTATAAAATAATCGCGGGTCTTTCATTCCGAAGGTGAAATGTTATTATTGAGTTATGAATATCCGCTCGCGCTTACGATATTCGTTACGAAAGCGACCGGAGACCACGCGAGCATCTCGTGACATTTTAGGTATATGGGTTAAGATATTTTAGAGGGTCGATGAATAAATTTTGACTTTGCTCAACTCCGTAAACGCGTTAAACGAAAAGCAAAAACGTTTCCAGAGAAGAGTATTTAATAAACGTATCTCTTTTGATGCTCGCTTCGTCTCTCGTCCCGGTATGTTTAGAATCACGAGAGCTGTATAATAGAGTCTCCGTCGTAAACAGAGAAAAATAGAAGCGGGTTTACAGGAATTTATTGGACGGATCCGACCGTTAATGCCCGCCGGAGACCCCTCGACTCGTTACTTTCTTCTCTATTAAGGAGGCATACTCGTTTGAAACCTTAAAAAATGAGTACATCTTCTAGATTTTTTTGCAGAGCAACGACTTGATAAAAATTTTTGATTTTTTCACAATATTAATACAATATTATTAACTACTTAACTAAAAATGTTCAGCTTAAAAAAAATTTTTTTTTTTTTTGGAGTTATGGGAATATTTGCAGAACTCCTTCAAATTTTAGATGGCCGCACAGTGTGCATGAAAACATTCGTAGATCATATCCGAAATTAAAAATACAAGCTTTTTTATATTAAACATATTAATAGCTAAGCTGCACACCGTGCATAAAAATTTTTATTTAAGTGAACATTTTTATTTAAGTATTTAATAATATCGTATTAATATTGTAAAAAAAAAAGTTTTTATCAAATCGTTGCGCTGCAAGAAAATCTAGAAAATGTACTTATTTTTCGAAGATTCAAACAGGTATGCCCTCTTAATAGCAGAAGGATCCGTTGTGTTGTTCGCGCGAGGAATTTCACGCTGTAAACGCAGCGATGCGATACGACCGGTCAAGCTAGACAGGGATTTCTATTTTTTTTTCCTTTCGCGCGTAAGCGAGAAGGGAAAAAAAAGTCCTCGCGAGTCTGCGCGATTATAAAACAATCGCGAGAGCTATGCATCCAATCTCAAAATCTCGTTTATTACACGCGCGTGCGTGTAATAAATCCAACGTAACGCCATTACACGCGTGTGCCGTTGGACACGTCGCGAAAATTACATATGCCGGTTACGCGCGATTACGTAAGGCCGCCTGTTATTAAACCCCGAGATCTTCCCGCATCGACAATTCTCATTTTCGCTCGCGTACATTATCGTATGTGAAAGTGGAATTTCTACAGCATGTTTCGTTTTGCGATCATCTTTCTCATGTTTTCATTTTTTTTTCATTTTTCATTTCCTAGAAGATATCTTTACTCCGTTCAAAAATATCTCTACTTCTTGTTTAAGATTATAAAATATTGCGAGAGAAGAATATTTTTCTAATATACGCGAAATGTCACTCTTTCGATTCGATTTCCGTCCTGAAATTCACGCGCACAGATTTTAAACGACTCATCCGTTCACGAGTTTTCGCGTATTACGACGTATCGAATCGCGTAATTGACAGATGGAATAACAGCTGATCGGCATTCGCTAACGAGAGCTTTGCTTCATTTCGGATTCATCGTTGTTGATACGTTCCTACTTTCTCATCGACTATGATGGTTCGACCTTTCGCGAATCGCCTCGGATCGGTTACGATTAGAAGCCGCGAGTTTACGTGATTTCATAGTGAGCCGTCTTTGAATTTGGATCCCGTTCGCGTCGATAAATATCAAGGCGGATCATTTATTAAACGACGCGATTATATATCGTAAAAATTCAAACGGCGATCAAATGTGAAATCAACACTCGATTTTTAGAATAAAAAGATTGAAATTTCTCGCCGTTAATCGCCACACCTTCCACTAAGCTTCTTCTCTCCTTGTTCGCGCACGGATGATCGAATCTAGAGGATGCTCCAGATGAAGCACCGATACAGACGACTAGATAAGCTCCTCGCGCTAGGATAAAGAAATAACTTGCGAGCGTAACGGGGCGACAAACAACGTTACGGTATCGGTTCGCAACGGGTCGTTAGACCAGCCTCGCAATGTCGATTAGTCTCGCATACCGAACGATAAGAGATGCACGAGAAGAAGAGTATCGCGACGCACGCGCTCGCGATTGCGATAACGGGAGATACCGATTTTCTCCGGGCAAATTGGAAACTTTCCAGAGCGCGATTCTCTTGCCGGAGATTCATTTTGCCGGAAAAAAAAATCCCTGCCCGGTGATCTTGTCAGTCACGAGAGGCCGTCGAAAGGTAAGAAAGAGAGAGAGAAAGAGATACGAGTATTATCTGCATATCTCGCGTAAAGGCTCGCGTGGCTCCGAGATATGGACGAACAGATCGGATGCTGGCGGTGGCGGTCGCGGTGTGAAATCGCGATGATCGTTTTCTAACCGCAGAAACGGAAGGCCGACTTTTCCGCCGACTCTCGCCGCGTGCACCACGCGAATGAATTAAAATTAATTTATTTACCGCGATATCGCCAACGAGATGGAAATGTGGGCAATCGATTATGCTACGAAAAAATTGTATTCTCATCTTAAGAATATTTCACTTATTTTTATATTATTATTATCACTTATTTTTTTATATTATCTTTCTCTAAAATAAGCGCTCCCTGCCCGGTGATCTTGTCAGTCACGAGAGGCCGTCGAAAGGTAAGAAAGAGAGAGAGAAAGAGATACGAGTATTATCTGCATATCTCGCGTAAAGGCTCGCGTGGCTCCGAGATATGGACGAACAGATCGGATGCTGGCGGTGGCGGTCGCGGTGTGAAATCGCGATGATCGTTTTCTAACCGCAGAAACGGAAGGCCGACTTTTCCGCCGACTCTCGCCGCGTGCACCACGCGAATGAATTAAAATTAATTTATTTACCGCGATATCGCCAACGAGATGGAAATGTGGGCAATCGATTATGCTACGAAAAAATTGTATTCTCATCTTAAGAATATTTCACTTATTTTTATATTATTATTATCACTTATTTTTTTATATTATCTTTCTCTAAAATAAGCGCCAGAAGAATCCTCTCTTAACTTAAGAAAAATCCTCTAAAAAGTATCAGATATCTATTAAGATATTTATTAAGATATCTATTAAGAGGATTTATAAAGTATATATTTCGAGAATACAATTTTTTCATTTCCTCTTATCCGGAATTGACGATCTCTTCGTCTCTCGTTGCATCGTCGAAACGCTCGACATTTTTCCGTTCGATCGAGTTTCTAATATCTACGGGGAAGCGTATAATTTCCGAGACAAATAAAACGGCTTCTCGTAAGTGGAATTCCCTTTCGTTCCTATCGCAATCCTAATTGTCTAATCTCGAGAGCGCGGAGATCGGCATGAGGAATCGACGGATCTATCCGCGTTCGCGATATTAGTCCCCTCCGGAATAGTAATTTCTACTAATAACAGGAAGAGAGCGCGCGTTCTTTGTCGTATCTTCGCCAAGAGTAGTCGTAGTCACGATTCCGAAAGAGAAGAGGATCTCGGGCGAGAAACCCCGGAAAAATCGCGAAAGTAGAGTACGCCCGATTCGAAGGAAACATCCATCTTTGCGCCCGATTATATGTCATCGATACGGCGTCCATTACTTTTGGAGATCGAAAAATTTTTTTCAAGTAAAACAAAAGACTCTCTCTTTTTCATTATATATATCGCAAAATGATATACGCGCCTGCGAAAACATGTAATCACTTTATGGAGGAACCGACGAGCGAATAAATATCAGTTACGGTTCAGCTTCCCGCCCAGCTTGCAGAAAATGAAGCCACGGGAATCCGCTCGGGAGATACTCTTATCGACGACGATTG